CGTTTTTTGTTTATGTGTTGGTCTCGTTATTGGTCTAAATGTTTGGTAGTCCATTTGTGAGTTTTTTGGAACAACTGAAGGTTTTACTGTGGATGATATAGTTGTTCGTGGCAAGGCTGTATTTTTATTTCCTGGAGTCGTAAGTGTAGGATGAATAGGTGAAAAACTTTGTTTGTTGTTGCTGATATTGTTTCAACTATATCTTTGCTTACGAAATGTGAGGGAGTTTCATTATCTTTTTGTGTAAGATTTCTTATTCCGTTCAACTTTTCTTGGTTATTGAACGTCAAATTTAAACTATTATTTCCTCTTCTGCTGGTGATTAATGAATTTTAATTTAGAAATTTAGAGGTGTTGCATCAATAGTAAGTGGGATTATTTTAACATATTCTGTATGGATGGAAATTGTGGTAATTGCTTGGTTTGATATATCAGTCGGTATGTTAATAAATGATTGATGAAACCATTCAGGGTCCCAAACATTATCTGTTTGGTTTGCTAGAATAGTTTCATCATCTGTGTTTTGTGATCGATAACTTTTTCTTGCTTGTGATATGGGCAAAAATGTCGATGATGAAACAGTCATGCTAAGATTTTTTGTTTAACGTTTTTTGATATTTCATGACTAGTGAGCGTTTCAGGGATTGTATTTAATAATTTTGAAAGAAAATTTATTTCTTATCTTACAGTTGCTTGTCGGGATGTTTGAGTTGATGAATCACCTTGTAATTCGTTTAACTCTAATATGGATAGATAGCTACAGATAAATGAAAATATATCGTTTGTGAATATTGAAATTGCTCTTTGTGTGTTTTGGTGTTTTATATTTTTTATATATTCTGTAAAAATTTTTGAGAATTCTATATCTGTATTGTCTGTTTGTTTTTGGTATTTTTTGTGGTTTGGCTTGGGTGAGGTTATTTCGATTGTAAATATACCATAGTATGATGTAATTTTACAGATATCTTTGAGATAGTGGTCAAAGATTAGTCTTTTTATCTTTTCTTCAGGGAATTCTTATGTACATGGGCTATTTCCTTTTTCAAATAAGTTTACGATTAAGTTGTGACAAAATTGTACTTGTCCTTGGGCCGGAATTAAATTGTGGATGTGTGAAAAATGGTAGTATCGATTTTTCATCGAATTTTTCATAATATTCGATCATGATTTATAATGTAAGACTGCTAGTGTCTAACATTCAATATGTCTTATTGGTTGATTCCAATTGTATAGACGTATTGGTTTGTTAATATATGACTTTTCTATTTTTCGTTTTCTTTGATTGATGATGGTGATGTGGCTTCTGAGTCAGAAAAAAATATTCGATCACTAATTGGATGATGTTTGATTATCGAGTCTTTTAAATCTTTTAGCTCTTGTATTGTGTCCACTTCTGATTCAGAGACTGCGTTTCTTCGTTTTGAAAATCGTTTTTTGATCATTTGTTTCTGTTTTGTTATGATTGTCTTTATTCGTGTTTGACTCTTTGATCTAGTGTATCCTATTGTTTGTCTGTGTGGTGTGATCACAACATCGTATCTTTAGTTTTTAATTAAACAATTATGTAATACGATTGTTTGTTTGTTACCTAGATTATCTCTTGACATAAGGTTTAATATGATGGATGCCTTATTTTGGGTTAGAGTTTTCTATTTTCTTAAACTATTAGTGTAGTTTTGTGTGGTTATCTGAACTTGGGGCATAGATTGTCAAGAGTTGACGGGTTAGGAGAGAAAATATATCAATTCGTGAGAATGACTTCTTACTTTCTCGTGACTAAATTCTAATTTAAGACAGACTTAGCTAATCTTACTTAGGAGTTGTGATTTGTGATCAAGGTTTGGAGAAGAGTAAATCAATCCACAAGGTTCATGTATTTTTAGAACGCAAGTAGATTTTTAGATACTATTTTATGACTTACTAAATTTAAGTGTTTTAGCATGGGTCATCTAGGAGGAGGGGCTCAAATGAAGGTATCTTAATTAAAATGGTTAATTTTTTTAAATTTCTGTTAATACTGGGTCTTTGATAAGGGTTGCGTAGTGAATCGACGTGTGAGGTCGTTAGACCCTTAAGAAATATGGGAGAGGGAAAACAAAATGTTCTATTTGATCCATGGAAAGCCTTGATGATCAGAATTTATAGAAATTTATATTAATTTACTTTAAGGATCCAAGCGAAGTCTCGATGATCTGTTCTTTAAATGAAGATAATTTAAGTGAAAACAAGGATAGGCCTTGATAGTTTAAAGATAAGAGTTCAAGTTGAAAAAGTTTGAGGTTAGAGTTTTGATCATATTAGTTGTTTGAAGTTTGCTGTTATTTTTTAGGCGATGAAGCTGGGATGAAGAAATAATGTATATAGATTAATAAAACTATCAATTATGTTTTATACTAACTAGTTTTTGTAATTTTTAATCTATAAATGTTTTTACTAAAATGTTTTTTTTTACTGCAGATTTTGGGGGCGAGCGACTTGTATTGTTTTTATCAGTCGCTTTTGTATAAATAGTATGTTTAGCACCATTGAGATTACTGAAGGATTTTTCCAAATTTTTTGTCAGTAAATTAAGATTTAGATTTACTGCTGAAAAAATTCTAAATACGTAAGTTTGTTCTGGTTTCCGTCGTACTATCATGAAGTCAATCGGTAGCTTCCTTCCTAATAGTAGATCATGCCTTGTCCGTGGTCTTCTCGCAATACCTGGTGTTTCTCGTATTGTTAGGAAAATTGGCGGAGATCTATTGAGTCGTAGAGACATTTCTTATAAATTGTCTATGTCATGTAACATTTTTTTGCAATTTGCAATTGTCTAATTCTAAAATCTATTTTGTCTAAGTCTAAGTTAGTTAAGGTCTTGTTCGAGACTTTTGGTAGCACCAGATGAGTTATGTGCCTTTGGTTATACTCATAGAGTAATTTCAGATGGGGTACGCCGTCTGTTCTTCGCGCTATTTTATTTTCGGCCGGATAGAAACGTACAATTTCTTAGTCTAATACCGATCTTAATCTTATTCTTATATCTCCTAGTCTCAATAGATCTAGTGTATACTGGTTTATGCGAGTTCGTTTCTAGGAAGAAAGCAACTGTGTTCTAAGTTTTATTCTGGTGCTGAAATTGCTCTGGTGCTTAGAGTACAAGTAGTTTCAGCTTTTACAAATAAGTGTAATTGTTAGAGGTGAAATATGATTGGTTAGTTTGGATTATTTTATAGATTTAGAGGATCTAATTTACATCCAATTATAAAATCTTGTTTAGAACTGGTTTCAAAAGTTGGCCTTAGAATTTTCTTACACTTTTTCAAATGCTTTGAAATTCTGTTAAGAGAATGGTAATTGCATGATGCATTTTTTACTTTATCTTTTTTTTAACCCGGGCTGCTAAAAACGTTTATCTACAAGGAGTTGGATCAATTTGAAAACCAAATAAGAGTTTTGTGCATCTTTCTTTTTTTAGTATTTTCTATGCTTACTCAATGAATTTTTTTTGCTTTTATCCAAATCAGCTTTTATCATAATCTTGAAAAAATGACAGAATAAGACAAAAAATTAAAAAATGAAAAAACCTCGTATCCTGAATTGTCCTTATCATAAATTCTGCAATCTTTTTATAGTGATTCGCTTTATCCGGTATTCTAAGCTAGCACACCTTTCTCCCTTGAGGTGGGTGATAATGACTTCGCATTCTTTCTAAGCATGTTGAAATTTCTATAAACACCAAATACAAATGAACTAGCGGCTACCAAGTTTTTGCGAGTTTTATAACGTCCACCGAAATTGCAGAAATTGCACGAGTGAATTATTACAAATATAGAGCTTAAACACGTTGTTTTTTAAACAAGCGAGCATTTAATACTATGCTTTTTAAACCGTTTTATACTTTAAAAGCGTTTTAAATTGCTGAAAATGCTTGAGTCAATCATTACAAATATAGAGCTTAAACGTAGTTTTTTTTAAACAACCCGGGTTGACCTCCATACACCGAAAATGCTTATCATACAATTCCATACATCAAGTGTGTGGGAAAATGCTTGTCATACAATTTTCATACAATTTCTAAAAATGGTTGAAAACTGGTATAAATTCATTTCTGTGGCTGTTTGATTCTAATAAAACAATCTAGTGATAAAAAACTGAGGTTTTCGTTTTTTGAAAAAAATGCTTATCATACAATTCCCATATATGGAAATAGTATGACTGGCATTTTTTTGGTTTTTGAAAATTTAGCCCAAAATTTTTTTTGTTTTTTTTTCAACCGCAAATCGATTTTCGTACGCAAACAAACATTTTTCGAAAAAAAAAATTTTTGCATGCAAAATTTAATATTTTGTGTGCATAACGTAGTCCTGGATACGATAAAATTGGCTTTTATTTTCTTTTCACTTAATTTTTTTTTTCAAAAACGCTGAAAATTCCTCTTTCTTTTGTATGGGGTGTTAATGTACGCCTTGATCAATGTCTGATAATTTGAAAATTCAAAAATTTAATATAATCATCATTAAAAAATTTTGCCAAAAAATAAAAGTTTGTTACTTTTGTTATATCAATTGTGAAAGACAGCCATTATCAGGCAGTTTTCGATGCATTGTAAATGCTAGACCGTCCAACCTTTGGTGTTTTGCGTAACCAAGGTCTTTGTCACTTGTGTTCGGTTGCAACTACAACCAAATTTTTTTCAGAAACTAAATTTAGAAAGAAAAAATCAAAAATTTATGGTTTATGGGAAAACACCTATCATACAATTTTCATATATGGAAAAATGCTTATCATAGAGTTTTCATACAATTTTCTGTACGTATGGAATTGTATGAAATTGTATGACAAGAAGATTCTCATATATGGAAATTGTATGATAAGAAGTTTTGGTCAACCCGGGAAGTGAGCATTTAATGCATTTTAAAGCGTTTCATAGCACAATGATGGCAATTTTGCGTTCAAAACATCGTAAATATGCATTAAGAGATTTGGAACTTGTCACAAGTTAATAATAAACAATAGCGTGTTTCTTTTTTTATCAATTACTTCATGATTTTTGGTCGATTCTTTTTAACTTGCTTAAATGATTTTTGATTAGATTCCTTTTTAGTACATAATTTTTAATGATTGCTGGTAGATTCTATTTTTAAAAATTATATACAGATTTGGGGTCGAATCTGTTTTTAACAATTACTTAATAATTTTTTCTAAGATTGAAAAAAAACTCTGATTCTTGAACCGACTGCATAACCCGGCGAATTCCACCCAAAAATTCTGGCCTTCGGGCCACATAAAAAGCAGAAATAATGGATGAGTGGCCTGAATTAGACTCTTCCCTGGTTATTATTCCAACAATCGCCCCATTTATGGTTCGTTATGACTCGGCCGTCGAATCACAGCTGGCTTGCTCCGATATTGTCGAATTGCTCCGGAGTTCTGGCGTTAACGGACTTTTCCTTCGACCCAATAACCCAGTCATCGAAGATCCCCCCATTAAGTCGGGTCTGCTTATCCCAGCCCCTGACTTCAGCCGAATGTTTTTGATCAAAGAAATTTTACTGTTGGGAGAACGGACTGACATTGAGACAGCGGTAACTGACCTTGACGACGAAATAGAACAGCTAGTGAACAAAAGTGCGCATGAAAGATCGAATATTTGTGTTATACTCTTTGCATCCTTCCATCCAGCCCAAATGATGTCGAGCTTATGTAACATTGAAGCAATAATTGCAGCCAGTCTTGGCGAACAAATTCGTGTAACTGTTTGCACTTCATTGCAAGAAATTTTGTCCGAAATTAAGTCTACGACTCGCGACGACTGTTCTACCCAGCCCAAACCATTGCTGAATTTAATCGAACTTTTCGAGGGAAAACAGGACGAATACTTTGAAGAATTGGAATTTTGTCGGAAGCATCCTCTGAAAACATTCGAAATCGAGGATTCAGATACTCTTGAGGACGAAAGCTCAAGAAAGCTCGTATTTGTACCAGACATCGAGAAATTAGAGGGAGAAATCGCCCACAAATTAACAGGCTTCGGGAAATCACTGCTATCGAGAGTTGAAAATCCAGTTGGTGTCTTATTGACTGGCTTTTCATGCCAAAAATTTGCGCCTATAGCCGACACAAGCTGCCTTAACGACATATCAGAGTTTGATTTTGTTTATTACAACAACAACTTTTTGACGCTTCTAGAAGTGGATTTTGCATTCCAGAATTTTGAATGTTTTGACTCCATTGAGATGAAACTAACGCACATACTAAGCAAGACAATACCTCGCATGGAATTGTTGTGTTACACTTTCTGTAAGTACTTTCTTCGTTCAGAAGTTGAAAGCAGTTTCCGTGAAATCATGAGACACTTCAACGTCATCCTGTACTTTCCATGGTTAACAGCAAAACAGTTCAAAGAATCGTGGGAAAAAAATTTACCCCAAGAGCATGCCATGCGTGAACTGCTTGAAAGCAGTGAAAACAATATTGACAAAATTTCATTGGCCTTTTCAGATCAAAAACCTAAGCTATATCAAATTTCATCCAAGTTGGCGGTTGAAAAAGCGTATCACGATTTGGCAGCCATATTTGATCCACCGCACGCGCCAAAAAACAGTAATTTGGATCTTTTGACTTCTCATATGCTGAAAACTCATATCAAGGCGTTGGAGAGCTGGAACGAAACCAGTAAAATGCCCAAATGCTTAGAAAAATTTTATCAAATCCAAAGTCAGACTGCTCGGATTCCACATATACGGTCTCTTTTGTTATCTGCTCAATTCCGGATTTTGCGTGATAACGGCTCTCATTTGATTTTGCAAGGAGATCAGTCATGTGATATGACACGAATGCTCTTGGCGAAATCAGTCGCAGTCAGCAAAGAGAACTCTGTGGAGCAGGTTATTTTCTGCTACTCAAATCGAAACGCAGTCTTTGATTGTTTCCTTCTGAGGTTTGACGCCAACAAAGAACCCACTGTCACCAATCTCCAAATAGATTTCAAAGCCCGGTATCATTTGAAATCTCAGCTGAAAATCAAATCTCTATCCTAGCCTCTGAAAAAAAACACGCATTGAAGGGATTCGCCCCCTGCCGACCCAAAGGGTCCCCCTTTGTATTAATTTGAGGTATCCGTTTTCGGCTGAAGGACCCTAGAGTTTTTCTCAAAGGCGCCAATATTTACTAATTTTGAGAGGAAAGCGTTCGCCAAAAAAGCGCACGCTAAAAAGAATGATCAAAAATTTTCTAAAAAGTGCCTAAAAACGCCTTTTATGGCCTGGGGCTCGAAATTTTGCCTGCGGCGCAGAGCTTTTGGCCAAAACAGGGTCTTCTAAGTGCTCTGGGAGCGCTCGGAAAATCAATTTCATCAACCTAGGAAAAGTTCGACAAAATTTTCGAAAGTTTTTTGAAAATCCGCTCCCTCCCTCGTGAAAATCTTAGATCCGCCCCTGGGTATCACACTGAACTCACACTGAACACTGAACTCAAAGTTAGAGAAACAATTGTATTTTAATAGTAAGTAATTCAGTTTTCCAAATTTTTCATGGTGTATTTATTTTGCGGAATTTCAAACCAAAATTACATCCTTAAAACGGGTAATCTCAATTAGTTCAAAAGTGAGGGAGCAAAACAGGCACAATTATAAGTTTTTTTTTCATCAAATTTTTCCGCTTCTTTCCAAGTCCAAAGTTAACCAAATTGAGAAAAACGAGTTTGAAAATTTTGATTTGGCTCAGTGCTGATTCAAATTATCCGGGCAAAACGATCAAAACTTGAATTTTCAGACGCGTTTTTCTCAAATTGAGTTAAGATTAGACAAAAAGTGAACAGAACAAAATTAGCTTAGAATTTCATCAGAATTAATATGGTGCAGTTTTTTCTCCGAAGTTCTCAACCAACATTTTACCCCAAAAATGGGTCATTTTGCCTTTTTTCAATTAATCAAGAATTACGTTGAAACTACTTTGTTAATTGATCAGAATTTTATATCATTAAAAGCCTCTTACGCAGCAAAATTTAAGAAGGGATAAATCTCTAGAAACTAGAATAAGAGAAAAAATTTTCACTTGATAATCAATAAATGTGATTTTTACTATATAAAGCCCAGAATCTTTGCTTAAAAACAAATTGTACACAGTTTGCGCAAATTTTTGGAGAATTAACCCTCCTTAAACTTTGTTGGGCTGCGTGAGAAGCTTCTAATGGTATAATATTTTCATCAATTAACAAAGTAGTTTGAACGTAATTCTTGAGTAATTAAAAAAAACCAACGTGACCCATTTTAGGGGTAAAATTTTGGTTGAGAATTTCGGAGAAAAAACTGCACCATATTAATTCTGATGACATTCTAAGCTACTTTTGTTCTGTTCACTTTTTGTCTAATCTTAACTCAATTTGAGAAAAACGCGTTTGAAAATTCAAGTTTTGCTCGTTTTGTCCGGATAATTTAAATCAGCACTGTAGAAGCTTGTTCAGTTCAACATGCAATGCAAATTCAACAAACTATGAACACATGCGTGAACAGAAAACAACTGAAATGGCAGCTATAGATTGGCTGCAACAACTGAAATATTTTGAAAAATTAAATAGAAATAAACTAAGTTAAACAGACGTTTTAGAGTTTTTCCAGGTGGAAGCTCTTATTTTCTGTCCTTTTGTTGGTTTTATGTTTCTTGTCGGTGAAGTATTCCTTTTGCTATTTTTTTCGTCGTTTTCCTTGACAGACATTCAGTTTGATTGTGTCAATGGCGGGGATTGTTTTGTGTCCCATTCTTTTTATTGTTGTGATGGTTGTGGTTTAAGCGTTTTTTTGAGCCTCTTCCTTTCAGATATGTGTCTCCTGGCCGTTTTCTTGTTTGTTTTGGTCTTAGCATTGTTTCAGGTGCATGATTGCTTTTGCCTGAGCTTAACACCGATGCTTTGCCTGTGGTTCGACAATCTAGTGTCGTGCTAGTCCAATTTGGTTAGTTTATTTTATACGGCCCAAAAGTTATTCTTTTGGACCATGATGCTCGAATCTGATTGCTTGAAATTGATATCAGCGGAAAAAAGTCTCAGCTTTTTCAATAAAAACATAAGCTTAATAAACAGTTTGTTCATTTGGGCCGTTTGACTGAAAAGACGCACTCTTTTTTCGATTTGTTTCGACTATTGAAAATTAGGAGGAACTTTGTCTTCGGGTGTGTTTAAGCTCATACCCGTCAGAACACAAAATCAGGTACCACAAATAGTTATTGGAATGAGCCGAGTGATGCATGATAATTAAGGCTTTTTAGTCAAAAATTGAACAAATTTTTCAAAAATTTCAAAAAGTTGTCCATTGTCGAGAAAAATTGGTCAGAGGTTTTAGAGACTCAGTCTAATTTCGAGCAAGTAACGCGATCGAGTAGGCTCGTTTTATGAAAATTTACTGATTGTTTTGAGTTTTTTAGGATTCAAATTTGATTATACTATGGAATACCACTTTTATGTTATTTCATTTAGCGCTGGTATTGCCAAATTTTTTTTTCTTAAGTTTCAAAATATTTTTTTAAAAATTTGAAAAAAAAATAATATTTCTTTAAAAATTTTTTTCATTATTTTAATTCATTTTTGCAGACAAATGATGCCCTTCGTGTTTATTTATAAATTTTTTTCCGGGATCGTATATTTCTCGAATCACACTGCCCACTAAAAATCACACCACACCAATATGAAGAAAAATGAAAAATAAATTTTTCAGCAATGAACCGTATTTTTCACCAGAGCCTTTTAATTTATGTTTTACAAGCAGGGCAATAATCTTACTTGATGGTAGTTTTTTCTCTGCTCTGAATGCACTTCATCAGTAGCATCATTTTTCTATCTGTCTATGGAGCTGCTTTTATAACTTTTAATCTGACTTTAAGGAATATATTTGCCCTGGGTGTTTTTTTGTAATTCAATTCGATGTATAAAAAATTGACAGCGTATGGGTATCGATTCGGAAATCTCTAGATTCAAATGAATATGCTTGCACTAGACTAAAGTGCGGATGGCAAGGCAGCTCGATTAATAATATGATAATTTCAAGACGCAAATTATTTTTGCATGGCAAAATATCCGCACTCATAATTGTCCAAATTGAAAAGAGACCACCTCTAACTGATCATAATATTACGCAATTTTTTTGAACAAAAACTGTTCTATTCAAAGACTAGTTAAGGGAGAAGCGGAAAATTTAGTGCTTCGCCCTTATATATGAAAATGAAGAACAAGAAAGTGAGGAGTAACTATTCTCAGGCTGTTTTTTCATTCAAACCAATTTCACAAAACTCTTTGCTCCCTCGGGGGAACGACCATTTGACGTAAATGGGCCCAGCCGGATGTGCTCACCACTAAAAAACCAGGCCAGGAGTCTTTTGGTACCAAAGTTTAGTGCAAAACTTTTGTCCAAAATTCGGTTTATTGTTGAATCTGCGACTGGTTTTAAAATTTACAAGAGCGAGACAGTTTTTTTTATTTTCAATAATAAATGACTTTTTTCTCGTGGTTTTGACAGCGAGAATAATTGACACATATATGCTATTTCATTTAATAAGCCGGAGTGTTCTTAGCTAGTTAGTGAATCGTTTCCATACAAATTTTGTCGTTAAAATTGTTTTAGCGCTTTACCTATTTTTAAAATTATTTCTTGTTCAGCCGCCTAGAATGGTTTTTGTTATTGCGACTTTCAAACATTCTTCTGGCAAATTTGCAGATCCGTAGAGAGAAAGAAGGCTCAATTTTCAACTGCGAACTTCATGAGAATTTTAGACAGTAGTTTTTGATGTTCGTTTTACCTTCTTGAAATTCGGATTCCTTCTTGAAATGAGAATGTACTTCTGCAATTGCTTAATGTGAGGTCAACAGCCTTCTAGAGCTCGGTTGGCATGTCATTTTGTATATAGCATTGCATTCAAAAAAAGATACTTTCCGGTGTCTTTGCTCCCGCATTGGAGTTCCATGAATACAAAAGGATTATAATTGAGTTTCATTGTCATTGCCTACAAAAGTGAAAAAAAAAATCAATTATAATCAATTAAAATTGAATTATAATGTTACTGTTTTTCAAGGCAGCAAAATGCATTTTAACTTTTGTTTTTTTTTGTCTCGATTTTTTTTTCACTTTTGTTAACTTTTGTTTCTGTCACAAAAAGTATTCATGTTTAATCAATTAAAATCCATTTCATTTCTCTGGTCATTATATCGATGGTGGTGCAGCTTTGTAGTATTATCTTGATAATTTTTAGTTTTTAAATATAAAAAGTGCTCTTTTTAAATTGAAAATTAATTGATACTTTGACACTTTGTGATCGCATCCACTAGTATTGGTGTGCAATTATAATTGACGAATGAAGCTCATTAGTTTCTCCAAATTGATTTACCGCTAAAAAATTAACGGTTTGTCAAATTGGCCTATGTTTTAATGGAAGGATCTCTCAACTTACTGTAAGACAAGAACCAATTTCATCTTCTATTCTTTCTTTTTCTTTGAGACTACCGGCTGAAATTCTTCATCACTGAATTTTTTTGTTTGTGCCTTTACAATCAATGTTTCTTTTTTCAAAACGCTCCATGTCCCTTCAATTGTTTAATGACTCTTTGACCGACTTGTAATTTTTAACGAGTGCTGTTTTGAGTGAATTATATAGCGTATTTGCATTTTTTTGGCCTTCATGCCTTTTTCAACATTTAATTTTTTAACTCAAAAAAGGAAAAATGGTAGTCAAGATTGGTAAAAATTGACAACCGATTATATCTCGAACAAAAATAAACACTTTATAAAAACGAAAAATTCCGCTTTTTCTATTAAAACTTACGATCAAAGCCGAGATTTGAAGGATACCCATACTCGACCCACTCGATACGGCAGTCTTCATCACCAGTAGTTCGATGGAAGAATTCGACTACCTTATTGGAAATGAATTCCTTAACAAAGCTCAATTTTGTTGGATCGCACTCAATGACGATCACTTCGCAGGAGCACAAAACAAGTTGCAGCTTGGACTCTTCAAAATCAAAACTCTCGATATCTTTTCGAGGCTGCAATGCTACGACTCGGGAGAACTTTCTCCCGATGATATCACCAATTTTTTTCAGAAATTAGAGAGACATCTGCGTGTGCGTGACGAGGAAAACAAAGTCGGAAAACAAAAATTGTCAGGTAGGTGCATTAGAGTGGATTCGAATAGGATGATTCAGTAGCATGTCGATAGAAGGTGCAACTGAGCGTCCATTTCTGTTGCCAAGAATTTAAAAAGTCTGACTTTTGGTGCTTAATTACGACATCAATTTTTGAACAACTACCATAAATTTTTGGTCGATCTTTTTTTAGGCCAAAAAAGTTGTCACAAAATAGTACCGAAGCGGGGGAAAATTACAAAGTTAACTTCGGTGGAATCAGATTGGGAGCGAATTGCTTATAATAAATTGCCATTTTATCAAAGTTGAAAATTCAGAAAATTCCAAATCCATTTTTTTTCAACTGATTTTTTTTATCTATTGTATTTTTTGAATGTCGATTCAAACTTCTCTAATTAGTGATTGTACCTCAACTGAAAGAGGAAAGTCATAGTTTCTTCCCACTCTTTCGAGACCTATCGGAACAAAAAACAGAGCCTTAGGGAAACTTTGAAGTCTATCCTGCTAAGCATTGTAAGAAAGTTTACTAAATTTGGAAGATGTGATCTTTCTCTCTTGGTAACCTCCTATTTTAGCAGCATTTTCAATAACCCCAGGCTTCATTGAAGTTCTCTTACAACCACACGAAAAAAAATCTCCTATGTAGATAATCTCCTTACACTAATAATGTCAAAAAATTTTGTTTTCGTGTCAATGATTTCTTTTCTGCGGTCAGACCTACCTTCCAGTTTTCTTTTTAACTAGTTGTTGAATTTGAGATACCTCTGATTGAAGTTGAACTTCTTTTTGTCGTATTTGAATTTCAAAAACATCATTTAGATGAGATAAAGGAGTTTAACACTTTTTGAGTTTTGCCCTCAACGGTTTTTTTCTGCCCACTAATTTCCTGTGTCATTTGTTTCGTTTTAGATGCTGACATATTTGAAGCCATTCATTTTTGCGAGCCGGTGAATCAGAAGATTGACGAAGCAACAGTTGCCAATTCTCAATTGGAAGGTTATTTCTTTTTTTTTATTCTGTTTGGTACAAAACCCAATTGTTCCACTCTCCACAACTGAACCCTATAAAAGGAACACATGAAACGATTTTCCAATCAGATGTTGTTTATATCCTAATTGGAACAAAATTCATCCATGGTCAACGCGGTAGCCGCTCCCAATTTTTCCCAAGACTTGTCAACTCAGTCCGACAAAAAGCTGAGCAAAATGTAGGTAAAAAAAACAGACTAGTTTTCAGACGAGATCTTCAACTTGTACTGCAATAAAACGGTAGTCGACTTAATATTTCTGAAGATAGTTTGACAAACCTGGTATGGAGTTCTGTTTCCATTAGTTCACGTTTTGCAGCTATAAAGTTGGACAGTGAAAATATCACTTTAAAAAAATAAACCAAATCAAAATTTAGGCTAGCCTACAAATTTTTCAAAAAAACCTGTTGTTGTTCCAACTAGAAATTTCTAGCAACAGAGAAAACTGGTGGTGAAACAGAGAAAACGGGATGAGATTGTTACGTAAGTACAAATGCCTCTCACTTCGCACGCAAAAGAGCTTTTTCTCCATGTTTTATCTTACGTGGAAAAAAAATTGTTCAGAGTTTCTCGTAGTAGCTGAGTTACTCATACGTAACATAAAAAAGGAAAAATAAATGAACTTTAATAGTTACAATTTTTATTCGCCTTTTTATTGCCAGTGTTCGCGTCGAAATAATTTTTTTTTTTTTTTAGTTGGCTCAATGCGAATTTAAAAACTTATGAGCGCGATATAATGCACCACACATGAAAAAAGCGCATTGAAAGTTTTAAGTATTTAACAAGCAGTTTCCAACTAAAAGTGGTCTATTTCAAGCCTATTCGCGCATCGTGATTTCGGGATCGATCGTGGCACGTCGTAATTTTTCTTTGAAAAAAAATGGTTCGAAAGCTTTACAACTCCATCCAAAAATCGGTTCTCTAAATAATCAAACATCGTCTGAAAAAAATTAAGACTACTCTTACATCAGGGCAAAGCGCCGAATGCTCCGACCGTACCTCATTTGGTCTCAATTAAATTTGAAATTACAATTTTAATTGCAATTTTGTGCTAATTGGAACCTGATCTAAACTACATTTTATGATTGGATAAATTAGATATTTTACCACTGTAAAGTATTTAATATTAACCAATCATGATCCATCTAACTAACAACCCACTTATTTGTAAGTGCTGAAATTACTTGTAATTTCAGCACCAGAGAGATTTGAATTTAACTTAGAAATTAGTTGACTCTCCAAGAAGACTTCAGCAGCCGCAATAAACCAGTATACCCTAGATCTATTGAGCCTAGCAGAGACTAGTTAAACAACCTGAGACTAGATAGTATAAGAGTAAGATTAGGATCGGTATTAGACTAAGAAGTTGCACGAATCTATCCGGCCGAAAATAAGATAGCGTGACGAGCAGACGGTGTACCCTATCCGAAATTACTCTATGAGTTATACACTTCGGTCCTAACTCATCTGGTGCGACCATAAGTCTCGAACAAGACCTTAATAGCTTAGAATTAACCAAAAATAGATTAGAATTTAGACAAAACATTTTTAAAATGTTATACGACGATAATTTAATCGAAATGTCTCTACGACTCAATAGATCAAAGCCAATATTCCGAACGATAAGAGAACTACCCGGAATTGCAAGAAGACCTCGAACCAGAGACGACATACCACAAAGTAGAAACTTATCATATAGTTATATGATAGTTCGGCAAAAGCCAACACAAACTTTTGTATTTAGAATACTACTAGCAATGAATTTAGATTTTCATTTGCAAACATAAAATCTTGAAGTCAATCTTCAAAATCATTTCAGGCGCTAAACAAAATTATTAATATACAATAACGATTGATAAAAAGATCTCAGATCGTTTTCCTAAATTCTGCAGTAATATACAAAACATGTTTGAAAAATATTTATTGAAAAATCAAAATCAAAATTAGTAGCATGACAATAAATGGTTAGTAATCATAAATCATCCTGTTGTTCCAGCTTCATCACCTAAACATAACAGCATTCATCAGCTCACTAATATCATAAAAACACTAAATCTTTTCTCTACACAAATTTAAATCATTTTAAACTTAAATTCACTTAAATTTAAAATCAGATCATCAAGGCTCATCCTTGGATCTTAAATCATTTTCTATTTAATTAAATTTAAAACTTGATCATCAAGGTCTATCCTTGGATCAAAAAGAACAATTTTGTTCTCCCCCACCCACTTAGCTAGTGTCTAACGACCTCAAACGTCGATTCACTATCGAACCCTTTCTAAAAACCCAGGACTAACAGAAATTTTTGAATAAAACTAATCATTCAAATTAGGATAAACAGTGAAGAACTTCGGTTATTCATCCTTCACTTGATCCCCCCCTTACCAGACCCAGGATAAATCTTAGACTTAGTAAATTTAAAATAGTATCTAACGAACTACTCGCGTTCTAATTATACCTGAACCTTGTGGATCGATTTACTATTCTCCAACCCTGAACACAATCACTACCCTTAAGTAAGATTAAGTAAGTTAACACCTTAGCTTATACTAGCCACGAGAAAGTATAAAATCATTCTTCGGAATCGATATACTTTTCTCCCCAACCCTGAACAAATAGACCCAGATTAGGCTAACCAAAAAATCGTAAGGACTAACAGTCTAAGAAAATAGAAATCATTTAACAACCTTTTGCATCCGTCATCCTAAACCTTATGTCATTTAAAAACCTAGGAAATAAACAAACAATCGTTTTACACAATTGTGAAATAGATAACAAAAAATACGATCTTGTAATCACACCTCATACACAAACAGTTGGATATATCAGAACAAAACGACAAACATTAAAAAGAAAAATAATAACCAAACAAAGACAAATAACACGAAAAAGATTTTCAAAAAACCGAAACGCATTTTCAGAATCAGAAACCAGCAGTTTAGACGAACTCTATAAATTAAAAAAATCTATAGATAAAAATTGCCCCATTCACGATCAATTATATTTTTCCGACTCAGAAACAACTTCAAATTCATCAAAAAGAGGAAAAAGAAGAATAAAGAACAATATAAACACAAACCAGTACACTTATACAATTGGAATCAACCAATTAATCACATCGATAGTTACATATTAACAGTCATCAAACGAAAAAATGAGCTCAACACACACCCCAGGTGAAGAAAGTCCAGATGATGATGATATCTTCCCCTTTATCGTAGATGCAACCACTGATAGAGGACAGCATATATTTTGCAAAAATTTACTCTTAAATTTGTTTGAACCCAGAATCAGTCCATGTAAAACAGAGTTCCCAGATGTAAAAATCAAAAGACAAATTATCGATCACTATTTGAAAGATATATGCAACTTAACACAACAATACGGAATCTACTCCATAGAATTCAGCTCACCAAACCAGAATCACAGCAAATATGTAAATCAAACAGACGACCTTGATTTAGAATTCTCAAAAGTATTCTCAGAATATATAAAAAGCATACAATATCATAACTCACAAAGAGCAAACTCCATATTCACCAATGAAGTTTTTGTAATAATATATAGTTATATCTCGATATTAGAAAACGAAATCCCAATCCCAAATGTCTCACCGACAGAAACATCTAAACATATAAGAGTACGACATGAAATCACACTACTCTCTAGTTTTCTAAATATAATTAAAGAAAACTTCACTAAAGATGATGTTTCACAACATACAAAATATGACTTACAAAAAATCTTGGCATGGTTTATAATAGATTATTTCACACATAATCTAGATTTAATTTCACAAGCAAGAAAAAATTTTAGACCTCAAAACTCAAACGATGATACTGCCATCACAGAACAGTCAGACTATGTTTGGGACCCCGAATTGTCTCATCCCGCATTTATAAATATCCCACAATCAATTGCAAGTCAAGCAATAAGTACAATATCTTATGTAAGAGATTATGTAAGAGTAATACCATTAACCATTGATGCAACACCATTAAACTATAATACATTTTTACCTGATATGCAAAATAATAGTTTAAACTCCACAGTCATACACAATGAAAACCTCAATGGAACTAGAAATCTCACTCAACAAGATATCCAGACACCATCACACTTCATAAATGAAGAAATCGTACACACAACAACTACACAACAAAGCATTTCACCGATACGTCCAAATTTAACAACACCAAGAAATACAAACCCTTCACAAACACAGGTAACCTTACAATCAACCGTTAAACCTTCGGTTGCCCCAAAATATTCACACATGGATTATCAAACATACAGACCCATGACAATACCGTCAAAAACACGTAAAACGTTCACTAGAAACAATTTTGCAGAACATAATTATAATTACACACATCCATCAAAAACAAATTATCCCCCACGAAAAAATTTTAATAATTACACAAGATCTCGAAACTGGGATAACCCAATGGCACAAACTAATTCAGTAAATTTTCAAACAAATTTACATCCTTCACAGGATCGTAGTGAAAACTATCCATTTTTTCAACAAAATAAAAATAAAAAACAAACATCTTATCAAGTGGATTACTTATCCTCAGATGATGATTTTTTACAACCAGATATATTTGCACCATATAATCAAGAATATCGTGGACAAGGAGTACAGAAACCAAATACAAATCATAGAATTTTTTCTCCACAACCGATAGATACACAAAATCAACAACCAATTCAGCAACAAAACCCAATTAATACACAATATTTTCAACCAATTCAGCAACATAACCCAATGATCACACACTCAAATCAACCGACGCAAATGCAAAATGAAATACCACTCCCATATTATCTTCAACAACACGAAATAACAAGAAATCAACTTTCAAATTTTTCTCAAATGCCAAATGCAGCAGAATCATTACAAATGACAATGAATCCATACCTTATGGGTGGATCATCAATAACATCAAATAAAACTTTAATGGTA